TAATTATATATATATATATGCATGCATACGTACATATGCACACAACTAGAAAGTGACGCCCGCATCCATGTATTTATGTACAGCGTGCATACGTGTGTATACCATGGCGAAACGTGACATGGTGTAAACGCAGCAGAAAGGTATGCAACCCAATGCAGTGCAACGAAATATTAACATACTATGGCATGTAATAATATGTCAATCCCAAAGATTATGTGATATGAAATGATTACATATACTCGAAAATAGTACATCAAGCAACCCACACGAAAACCACCATGTAACATGGCTGAATTCGGTGTAACTGTAACTGTATACAGAGCGAGAGAGAGAGAGATAGAGAGAGAGAGAGAGATAGAGAGAGAGAGAGAGGAGAGAGAGAGAGAGAGAGAGAACGAGAGAGTGAGAGAGAGATGAAGACTAGTACGCGTGCACCACCATGTAACATGGCTGAATTCGGTGTAACTGTATACACAGCAGAGAGAGAGGAGAAAGAGAGAGCGAGAGAGCGAGAGAGAGATGAAGACTAGCACGTGTGCATGTACATTCGCATGTGTTGAAAATACGAACATATGTACGTTACTGTATGCATGCATGGATGGGTGTGTCTGGACGTACACTGTTCGCAGTAACAACAAGAATCAAAATGGCACGAGTACTATGACCGGTAGATGTACATACATACATATACACATATATATATATATATTATTATATATATTTATATATTTATTCATTTATACATACATACATATAAAGTTCGTATGTGTTATTCCTTATCTTCCTTCTTGTTGTGGCACCGGTGGTACTGCTCATGATGTTATGCTGCACTAGACGGCTGCGAGAGTCGACAATCAGATCATCTTTGACATTATGCTCAACATCATCATTGTCGCCGTCATCTTCATCTTCAGTACCATCAAAAGTAGCTGCCACCATCACCATCGCCGTACAACCCGCATAATTAAGCAGGAAACTACTGCGCAGATTGCCGCTTTCGGCGCCAGGGGGCGGGACGTACATGGCTGTCACGGTCCCTGGACCATAAAACCTGAACCCTAAATCGGGACCTGGGCCGTGGTGACAGCATCCGCCGCATCTTTGACCGCTGCTTCTGCAGTTTTGCGGTGCTGTTGCAGGCGCTCCTTGGCGAGTACGTCAGTAAGGCTAATGCAGTAACAATAATACGAGTAACAGAAGTAGCAGCTAACAACAACAATCGTAATGATAAAGTCATGAGAATGATCATCATAATATTAAAAAAAGTAGCAACGGCAATAGGAAAAATCAGAATATAGCAAAATCTGTCCCTGAGAGCAAAACATGGATTCCAGCGCCCGTTCCCATAAAGAGACAATGCCAGCCAAGCGGCACTTGACTGCACGGCGAAGCTGTGGCTTTGCATCTGGGCAGCTTGTGGGCTCTCTTGTTCGTGCATGCACAGCGCCTGGAAATCGCTGCGGTCTACTTGCGAACCCTTGCCACCCCTTCATCAAGCTCTAATCTCTCTTGCGGGCGAATGGGAAACGGCGGAAACCCCTTCTCTGCAGCTCGCGGGCTGCCGTGGCCAGACGCTGCTGCGCCTGCGCGGCGAAGTGGGGCCTCAGTAAGTGGCAAGTATGAACCCTGAACGCTGGAATGCAAAATCCAAACTGCAACAGCTGGACGGGGCAGAAGGAACGCAGATTCTGGGATCGAGACCTCAGGATCCGGGTCCGGACATTCAGAAAGGCTCACACAACCAGAAACGGACAACACGGGTTGATGTATATGTATACATACATACATGAAATAGCACAAGCAGCTTAGCACCAATAAGGCCGTGTGTGCATGTTTGGCCACATACAAGAAGTATCGAAATACACGCATGCATCGTGCAAACCGATTGTGTTTGAGTCTGCATGATGTTTTGGAATGAGACAGACAAATACTTGAAAAGACAGAGAGAGGGAGAGAGAGGGAGAGAGAGAAAGAGAGAGAGAGAGAGAGAGAGAGAGAGAAGCCATTTTGGCTCCAGAAAGACACTGAGCGGTTCGAGCCCCGAGCCCGTGAGAGCAGGGAGGGGAGCAACCCGGGCGTCGCAGAGAGGAGAGAGCGTGCACCCTCGCCTTGCCACACGACCTCTACTACCAGATTGCTGCACTTTGCGTGTACCAGCCCCCCGCTCTTGAGAGGGACCTTAGCAGGTTCGGACAGAGGGAGTGTGACACCCGCAACCTCGCCGAGATCGGCGGACCTACTTCTCAACTACCCCTTCGCGGTCTTTCTCCGCACGGGGCACGCTGGGTGAGGGAGTACCCCATCCGGACGGTCGTGACTTGGGCAGCGACACTGAGAACGAAAAGTCTGCACTATGCTTGGAGCGGGGCAAGAGCCTCAAGCCATGGAGAGGTGAGACCAACCAATGGCGGAGTACCAAAGGCTACAAGTTTTGACGTGCTCTTTCCCGCACCCTACGGGCAAACAACCACCCCGGGGAACCCGGGATCCGAGAACCACTGCCGCAGTCTTCAACAAGTAAGCCGTCCATTCAGCCTTGTTTGTGACCGTACTTAATTTGTCATGAGGGGCACTCGATCCAATCCTTGAACCTTAAAGTGGCGTGCCCGCTGCAAGCATACGACTTGCGGGGCCGTTAATTTAAGCATGCTTTTCCCCTCTGACACTGACACCTTTTCGACCCGAGCTCCATGGGGTACACTGTGCTGTTGCAACATGAGAAGTGAGGCACTCAGTTTGTGAGAGTGATGTTTGAGTGCCCTCGGTGTGTTGAAGTTGAGAGGTGCCTCACACCCAACAGGTGACAGGACAGTGTCGTGCACATCGTGGGCACCAGCTCTTTCATGCATGTCTTTAGGGTTGTTTTGCTTCAACACTTCCCCCACGTGGCACCACACACCAGCTGTCCTTTACTCAGCCTTTCCATCCTGCAGAGACCCTCCATCTGTCAATGGGGTAGCAGGACTGCTGCCCTACACCCTAGCAAAGCAAAGCAAAGAGGGCGCGAGAGAGAGAGAGAGAGGGAGAGGGAGAGAGGAAAGCAAGCAAGGGAGATAGAGAACCGGGACTGCCCGGCGCGCTCTGCTAGCCCCCAAGCATAGCAAAGAAGGGCAAACATTTGCACGATCATGCCATCGGTTGTCTTCCTCTCTCCTTGTACATATGTACATGTTCATAGGCAAGTAAAAAGGCAGATACTTTTATGTACGTAATTGTACGTACATGATGTACACATTGGCCACTTTTCTTTAAATTCCTTAGCACTCGAGCAAGATCGAGATTTTCAGATTCAATTCAACGCAAAATCAGATGCCATTGTATACAACTGCATGTTCTTGCATACTGTAGATTACATATGACTTGTGACACTATACATAGTAATTATATAGTATATCTGCTAGTACCTGGCATGTCCTGTACACAGTATCTTTGCATCTTATACCACGTTATATATTCTTTCATATTGAAAACATGTACAGTGCATTTTGTGAAGTATATGTACATACATACATACATACATACATACATACATACATACATACATATATACGTATATATATATATATATGTATCTGTGTGTGTGTGTGCGTGTGTGTGTGTGGACAAACACATTTATCAGTCCACACATAATAGTATGTGCGTGTCAAGATCATCTGTGAACACAGCAAACTCGCTGCGTGCTGTCTTGCATTAATGCTGTGCATTGACGCCCCATATTGCTCTGCCCTAAACCCTAAACCCTAAACCCTAAACCCAAACCCTAAACCCTAAACCGTGTGCAATGCTATGCAACCACACCCCAGGCACCAACTATTGGCACAGAGGCTGAGGATGGCACTCATAGAACGGTGTATTAAGAGCTGCATGCTCCATTCGGCACTGCTCCACCATGCCTGGAGCGGAATCAGCTCTTTGAATCCTGGTAGAATCTGTTACTGTAGCTTCTGGCGGCATCGAAAGTGCTTCCAGGTTGCCAGACCAGTGTCGCACGCCTATGAGCGCCTCTTCCTGGGTTTCGGCACAAAATGATCGCAGGTCAGCCGGCAAGACGGGAGGTGCACTTCGCCCACGCTCCGCCGTTCATTTGCCATAGGTCATGGTAGTGATCTCGCACAAGCAATAATAAAAACAAAATCGTGAAGACGGAGACTGCAAACTACATGACATTCGAGTGCTGACGCTCGATGGCTTTCATGTAACTGCAGGAACCTTCCAAACCTCTAAACTGGCAGCAACTCCAACACCTTATCTTGGCTCGTGGTTGCAGTTCCAATGCAAACAGAGCGTCTGATTTCTGGGTGGCCTGGTGCAACTGCATCTGTATCAGGTTCAAGTTCTGCTCCACCTCGAAATGAATTCTCGAAAGGCTTGGAACAGAAAAACGAGGACATTGCCGCATTGGCCGGGGCATCTCTTGTCAAGTTCCTGGTGTATAGGCAACTACGAGTAGGGCACAAGACGGACTGCTCTATGGACAGTGCTCATACTCCCCATAACCCTTCGTCTCACCACCTGTCATCACTAGCACAATGTATCCACTCCACACAGTTTCACACTGAGCAGTCTCATTAACGGCCTGCGTCACCTTTGTGCGGACATCACTCGCTGCACTGAAAGCAGCCCACAATGCACTCTTCAGTTCCTTGGTGACGGCCAGAGTGCTGATCAAATTCGATCGAAGATTCATGCATGTCGCATTTCACCCGAAATGTGTACCTTCAACCGTTCCTCAGACCTCGTCTTTGAGAAGGGCACCTGAAAATTCAGGGTCTCCACCACCGCGGAATTTCAGCAAGACATCTGCAGTTGCAACTTCTACAGACAGTTCGCCGTTCGTGTCAAGGCTCGTTACAAAGACTCGCTCATCGGCTACAGTATGTGAAAATCTATATATGTGGCCGTAACAGGCACACAAACACACACACACAACAAAAAAGGTATGTGTGTGTATGTATATATATATATATATACACACATATATATATATATATATGTATACATATTTAGATAGATAGATCGATCGTCGAGCTGGCAGCTTCACTGCTGCTCACGCAGACCACTATCGAATCTCTCTCTTCACCTAATGACACCTGTACATCGAGTTCACCCACTTTCTGACGATGTGCAATGTTATTTCGTCCTCACCAGAGGGCAGTATTTTGACTGCTGCTCACAAGACCACTCCTGGTTTGTTGAATGTGACTCCTTCTGCACATGTATTCCCGTTACGGGGGTTGCTGTGTCCTCTTCATATCCTCTTCATTAATAACGAATGCTCATGTCATGACATGCGACTGAAGCGAAAAATATTGCCCCTACCACGCTACCACCACTACCAAAAGTAAGCAGATTTGCCAGCGAATGCGTTGACATTAGGCCAACACAGGATCGTGCGGGCTGAGCTGACTGGCGATGTCATGCGATGTCGGTATATTTTTGAGGTAGGCGGCTGAAACCAACGAGGGTGGGCATGTTCTTGGAGGAGCCACTGCGCCAAGGCTTTCTTGAAATTGAGTCAAGGCTCGGTGTGCTCTTTGTCAAGCGCAGAGACTGCGCTTCCCTGGGCAGGTGGTTCGGGCTTCCTTCCAGCATCCTGTTTTGATCACACATCGCTTCGCCAACAGTACGTGCAGGGTGTTGCTCAAAGGACAGGCCATGTCTGCGAGAAACTTCCAGTCTGCTCATTGAACATCGTAACGGTCGTAACGTTTCAGTTTACATTAGACCGAGGACAAGTACGCACTGCACAGGCGGATCTTCATAGTTCTTGGCTAAAGGCCTGCTTTCAGCCGGGCCACAACTCATCCAAAGACCCTAGTTTACACACACACACACACATACATACATACATACATACATACATACATACATACATACATACATACATATATATATATATGTATATATTCGTATATACGTGTATGTGTATCGAACCCCCCCTCCGTTCCAAAAAACCTTGTCCCCAAGGCTTGGTCTGGCGCCTCTGGCGATGCTGTATCGGCCTGGTAGAGACTTCGGAGTTTTGGCAGAAAAAGCAACAAGGTTCCATGAGTCACAGGACGGAGATTGTCAGACACCCCCCCTTCTGGCGACGGAAGGCTGAGGTGCCGGCGGGAGTGGGCTGCGGCTTTGGGGCGCTGTTAGTAGGCCTGGCATGCTATCCAGGTTGACAGCTGGGCATGCGGCCGTCACGTCTTGCAACCAAAGCGCTCCCGCCCGGTTTGTGGCGTGTCGCTGCGTGCCTTGACTGAGGATGGGCAGCGAGAGATCGCAGCCAAGAACCAAGCTACTGTGCCTATCTGGCAACAGGACTATCGTGGTGGTTGCGGAGTGCTGGGCTGGGGGGAGGGTGAGGGGCGTGGCGGCATTGTGGTAGTGCTGATGCCGGCCTTGCAATCGTCGCTGCTTTCATATTGGTGACAACAAGCAACGAAGCACATTATCTAAACCAAAGACAAACTTGACGACAAGATGAGAATCCAACAAAATACAAGCATCATAACATTCCACAACAATTACAATACTTGTATCGGCAAAAACTCTAAGATTCTGCAAGAGACTGTACATGACATAGTGTGCAAGCCAAGTTTGTGACCAGCATTCAAGTTGCAAGGATGCAAGAAGACCTGTGCATACAAGAGCGCATACACCCTGGTACGGGAACATAAACTAGACAGAATGTGAAGCATATGCAGGATGCGATGTTCGACAGCGAGACAATCGCCCGGAAGTACCAGTTTGTCACTAACATGCTGTAGAAATATACTATCATATCATTCAAGTCCTACCATCTGTCCTATGCAGACACGACACTTCACCCTATCAGACAACTAGCGGAACTAGCGCTTCCTCCGTCGACTTCAACCGGCAAGCAAGGCTGAGGCAGCAACTGGGGGGGCCTTGGGAGAGCGACTCCGACTGCGGCTTCGCTGTTTGTGGCCTTGGGTTTAAGGTGACTGGGGTTTAGGGTTAGGGTTTAGGGTTTAGGGCTTTGCGGTGGGGGCTCTTGATGCGTTCTTGCTTGCACACGGTGTGCAGCTATCTAGCTTCTGGTTCAGGACTTGGGGTGCATTGGGGCTCTAGAGACTAGCATTGGGGCTGTAGAGCTGTGGAGTCTCAGGGTACCGAGCTCGCAATGCTGATCCGGTTCACAGCGCTGAGGACTTTCACATTGGTGATCGGAGGGTCTGATGTCTGGGTTGGATTCGATTGAGGCTTGTTCGTGTAGTTCTAAACTGCCTTATGGGTATAGGGCCTAGGGTAAACCCGCTGCGGGTCTTTTACGTGTACGGAGCTTCTAGAACGCCCAGCGTGAGAAGGGTAAGCCGCTGCGTACGTGTGTGGGATGCGAGGTTTCCATGCTTGAGAGCTGCAGGGCCCAAAGCAGGCAAAACAAGGACTAGTATATACCATTGTATACTATTCTATACTTTTATGACCTAGTGATCTAGTGCGTCAGAGCTGCCTCGAGATGCCTCCGTCCTGGGAGCAGATGCCGGTAGGCTTTCAGAAGCTGGACTCCACGACAACTCTTGTGTCAGCTGCGTTACAAAGCTTCCCACAGTGCTTATGCTGCAAGCCAGCTGCGAGGTTCCATTGAGGGCCGATGGTGTAGAAGCCGGCAACTCCTGGCAATCAAAACTTCACGTGCCATGTGCTGGGTCACGGACGTATCTGCATGTATCTGCCCCCAGGCGCGCTCGCCCAGCGCTCCTTCTTGGTGTCCGTTGTGCTCTTGGCCTCTGGCTCCTTGGAGCTGCGATCCTTCGCCTCTTTGGTCCTCTCCCTGGAGTCTTGGCTCTGAGTGTTCGCGCTGCTCTGAATGTCGGCAGTCTGCCTTCCTTCTGGTGATTTCGCAGGATCTACCTGCATGGGGACATGCATCACCTTGGCAGGCTCTTTCGTACTAGCTGTGTCTCGGCTCGTCTCTTTCTGGGCTGCCTCCCCGATGCTGGCACCGTTCCTGAAACAGGCAAGGCCAACATCCAGGAAGGAAGCCAACGAAGCATTCCTAGGCCTTTCTGAGCGTGAAGCCTGAACCCTAAACCCCCCAAGTCACAGAACAAAAACAATCTTGCTCTGGCTTGCCACGCAGAAGCGGGGCTCGGCCGGACGCCGGAGGCTTCTCACGGGGCTCGGCCTCGAAGTAGGGGGCTTTAGGGCTTTAGGGCTTCAGGGTCTAGAGTTGAGGAGAGCATAGTGCTTCTCCCTTCACGGTGAACACACAGCACCTGCCAAGTGAAGAGCCTGAATTTCTTCCAAAGCACTGCCGCTACGATGTGTCGGGAAATCTCTGACAGCATCACGGCACTCCTTCTATTCTGCATCCACCTGCATCCATTCACTTGCACCGGCCACACGACCAAGCTGAAAGAAAGGGTGACCCAAATCCCGGACCCAGACCTGATCCTCCCACCACCCCCTTCTTAGCAGCCAAGAAGCGCTGGCCACCGCCGGTGTAGGAGCAGTAGCTGCCTGCGTGACGGCGGGCTTCCTTTTCCCCAGCGCGTTGGCTTTGCTTCCCAATGGATGGGAACAGCTTGGCAACGGCGGCAAACAGCCACCGTTTGCCATGTTTGTCATCCCACTGCTGACACAAGCAGCAGAAAAGCAACAATGTCATAGTGAACGTGACACTGGCACTTGTACATCCGCCGACTGCGATGATCCTCCGCGAGCGGAAGTGCGTGGTCTAGCTGCGTTGACTTCCCTTCAACCGGAAGTGGTCCCTTCCAAGACACGCCGGCATGAATTGATGTGGCTCTTCCTGCGGATCACGAATTTCAGTGCATCGGCTTGCCAGGGATGGCAGCACAGACTTTGTGCTGGTGGAACCTACAGCCGTGCCGCTGTGGAAAAAGTTGGACACTCTTCGTTTATTTCCCGCAGAGACGGCGAGGTCACCAAGCTAAACCACGGCTTCGATTGGCCGTTGGGACAACACACAGACCTGGTGACCTGGTGCGACAAGCAGGCCAGATTGTAAGACTTTCCGCTGCTTCACCCCTATCTCAGATCGGCAACAAACAAGTCACGAAGACTCGGTAACCCTGCCAAACTTGTCTTTCCGACCTGATATGTAAGATACTAATTCAGTGTGCGTGATGTCGGCTCGATCTACTTGCATTTGTCATGTTTGCCCGCTCTGCCAGCCTCGTTGCCTTAAGTTGTCATTAAACCCTGACTAATTATACAACTCCAAAACATCCCGAAAATAGTCAACGTAATCCCCAACCCCAACCCCAAACCCGAAAGCAACGCCTGCAGTAACCTTATAGCAACTTTTATCGTAGTAGTACCCCAATGCTACACCCTGCAACATCTCCAGAACCGAAACCTGCCGGATGCGGGAGCCTCGGCGTTTGCTGAGCCCTGGCCGGCCTCTGCCTGAAGGCGAGCCTGCAACACCTCTCGCCAGAAACTCGTCTAATTACAGGGCTTAGTTTTTTAAAACGTCTTTTTCCACCTGCCCAGATCCTGAGCTAGTAGAACCCTTGTTTCGGGAGGGCTTCCGGTTTTATCAGAGTTTTCGTGGGGCTAAGGGCTTAGGGTTTTGGTTTCAGTGCTGAGCGCCGGGGGATCAATAATACGCAGGATGCGTCGGCCCCATATGTCATGCGAGGGCCCTTTAAGATTAGTTTTTCTGGTTGGGGGGGAAGATTGCAGTATGATTACATGCAAGGACTATGACTATAAGTGTGATTATACAAAGTCTGCAACAGGATATGACTACCGACTAGACCGGCGAAGACCCCGGATAGCTGGGGAGGCGTCAGAAAGGTTCGTGGTTTCGGACATAAGTGGGGTCAAAGTTGTTAACCAGGAAGGTCAGCCAGTTGACTCTTCCTGGTTGCTCTCAGGTAGTTTGGCGCGAGCAGCGCTGTTTTAGGCTCAGGCTTACCAATTTGCGAAAGGCAATGCCTGGGCTCACTCTTCTTCACATGCCTCAACTGCGTCTTGTGGCGCAACTTAAACTCCACTCGGCCTTTCCATTCTGTCGGGTCATTGGGCTTGGGTGCTGGCCAAAGTCAAGAAATTCCTATCCCTGATAGTGACAGTCGATCCCTCATCGTACATCTTGTGTGTCACTCTTTCGCCAGTCAATCGGGACATGTGTGCTGGATTGTGCTGGCAAAGCACATTGTTCTGCACCCATGTCCTCCTCGGGACGGTCACTTCTCGACTGTAAGCGATGAACGCGACATTCTCCTTGCCATTCTCCTCAAGCACTCCTTGCAGTGCCACTGCAGTGACTTCCGCAATGCACTCCTCACAAATACACCCATCCGTGACACACTCCTTGGCATAAGGCTCTTTTTAGGCTGTTCCATTCCACATGCCAGCTACCTTTGGCCAGGAACCTTCGCTCGGCCGCGCAAAAAACCAATTAAATTTGGTTGATTTTTCTGCGGTAATTTTCGGGTCCAGGCGCGTTTTTTGGAACCGGCATGTGCACTTGTTGCTGGTATTGGCTAGCTTTCAAACCGGAAACAACTAAATTTGGTTGAGTTTTCTTTGGCAATTTTGGCCTGTCCAGGAGCGTTTTTTGGACCCGGCGTGTGCACTTCTTGCTGGCGTTGGCTAGCGGCTAGCTTTCAAGCCGGAAATCAATCTCCAAAACCCACCAAACAAATGAACTATCTGAATCTTTGGTTGATTCTTCTGTGGTAATTTGGGTGGGTCCAGAAGCGTTTTTTGGACCCGGCGTGTGCACTTTTTGCTTGCGTTGGCTAGCTGTCAAGCCGGAAATCAATCTCCAAAACTCACCAAACAAATGAACTAAATTTGTTTGATGTTCTATCGTGATTTGGGCGGGTCCAGGAGCGTTTTTTGGACCCGGCGTGTGCACTTCTTGCTGGCGTTGGCTTGCTTTCAAGCCGGAAAACAGTCCCCAAACTCGCGCAAAAAAATCAACTAAGTTTGGTTGATTTTTCTGTGGTAATTTGGGCGGGTCCAGAAGTGTTTTGTGCACTTGTTCCTGACATGTGCTAGCTTTCAAGCCGCAGATCGGTCCCCAAAACTCGCCCAAGCGGCGGTGGACACGGCGCTCCCCGCCTGCATGCCACGTGCACGCCGACTGCATGCCGCTGCACACCCTTCGCCGGCCGTGGACACGGCGCGCACCACCAGCATGCCGCCTGCATGCCGCTGCACTTCGCCGGCGGCCGACACGGCACGCCCTGCATGCCGACCACATGCCGCTGCACCCACTGCGGCGGCGGCGGACACAGCGCGGCCCGTTCTTTACCGAGAACCCCTAATAGCTAAAGCTATCTGGGCGAACTATTCCCCCTTGTACTAGGAGGGTTTAGGGTGTCATTGTAATCTGTAGAGGGGCTCAAGAATCTGCAGGATTGCTCCGTTTAGGGCCGCATGTCGCGGGTTTGAGGCGCAAATCAGTGTCTTGGGTGTCGGGATGCGCGAGTTCTGCATGTTGGGTTTGATGGGGCTTAAGGCTACTGGTGAGGTCCGTGCAGTTGAAAATCAGCATTCCGCGATTCGGGATTTCCAAAACTTACGTGTCGAGTCCCAGTGCTTCCTGTCTTGATTTCTAATCAATGAACATGTGCAGGGCAGTTCCAACAAACTGCGACAAGGCCCGTCGGTACATCTGCAACTGTATTTGTACGACAACTTATCAACAAAGCGCAGGGTTCTCGCTGAAGCACAATCAACCGCGCGCCTGTTGCAGCCAAATGCTAATGCTCTGCATTTCCGAGGTAGGCCTTTCGCAAGAGGGCAGGTCGTGAAGCACCCAGAAACCCACGCCCTCCACCCAGCAACTAAACCCTTTTCCGCTTCACTTCTTTTCCAAAACAGACAAACAAACCTACTGTAAACTTCTGAGGCGGGTGACAGCTTGCGCAGTTCCTGTTGCAGCCATTGTTGATGGCCTGCCTCCGGGACAGGGGGCAAGGTGCCAAGCCCAAGCCGCTAAAAACCCGAGCACGTGCACTTGGGTTTAGGGCCACTCAGGGATCCAAAGAAGCTCCGTGACATCCTATCAACTGCTCTGCCCCAGGAAGAAGGTACCGAAGCGCCTGGCCAGCTTCCATGGCTCCCCAGAATGCGCGGAATCCAACTATGGACCCCGGAGTCGGCCTAGATAACACAAAAATGGCCGTTGAAGCATCTGCTTGAGAAGATCTGCCATGACATTACCGACGACTGATCCTGAGTGCTGTGTGCCTGTAAACCTGTCTGCTTTTAGCACAGATTCAAGATGTGCGCACAGAGATGTAGCAAACCACGGTTTTTGTGCCAAGTGACTAGCTACTGTTGCGCTGTTGACTTAACCGGCACTTGATCCATGGCGTGAGTCTCGCCAAAAATTGGCCTGCGTGCAGAGCCCAGACACAATACGTGCGCGTGAAACTGGCAACAAAACTTGTGGCAAGCATCAAGTCTGACGAGCTACAGCCAGATTAACCAGTTTAGATGATGACAGCAGAAACCGTTATTTCCGCTCAGAGAACTTAAACCAGTTACGCCAACAACCGACTAGCTATAGAACTCGATCGATATCCTCCCAAGCCCTTCCTGACGGCCCACGTGCAACAAGGTGTACCTTATCAGCACGCTCTTCGAGCTCTTCTGGACTGTAGCCCTCCACCACGAAGCTCGCCTGACGCAGAACGAATCTGAGACCCGACGGGAGGTGACGAAAGCTCTAGCTGCATGGCATGAGTTCAGAGGTTGCATATGCGTTGACTCCTGATACTCCTGCACTTTCGAACCGTGCAACGTGTCGAGTTCTGACTACTGAAACGAAAGGCCCTCTGGGGGAGAGCTTTCGTGATCATCACTTCGATTAACAATACCTGTCCATGCGCATACGGCATTTGAGTTTGCCGTTGTGTCATCTTGGGGTCATTACACCGCTTGCTTGGCTGCTTCAGCCTTCTTGGCTGGTTCCGTGACGGGACTTCCGTATGCAATAACTGGAAATCTGAGACATTGAAGCTGGAGTCCTTCAGATTCCCGGGACGGAGCCACACTGCAACAAGACATACCAAACAGGGACGCAGGGCAAATAACATTCTTCTGCACGACTTGGAGGATCGAGCAAGCAACCACCAATCAATAGACTTACAGAGCACTCGGCATGATTCTGCTCTCTCTGCCTTATGCGACCCTGGAGCTTCACCGACAATCTCCGACACTCTGAAATGTTTACCCGTAACTGGCTGCTGACAGCGACGGCGCACCCGCAACATTTCAACCAGCTCTTGCCGATCGATGAGACCGCTGCCGTCCTGTGTGGGGTTACAGACTGAAAAGGCACTTGGCATTTCCTGCTGAGGGATGACCTAGTTGGATGCCTTCACCCAGCTGCGTCACAAAGGCCTTTTAGGGACTAGCCCCTGTCAGATGTCAGTTACCCGAGGTTCAAGCAAAAGAGATCGAGGCATTCGGTTTTCTCAGTGGCAACACTCTGCGGACAACATCCTACGCCCTCGAGCTGGTGTTGCAAACTATGGCAGACTTGTGGGAAAGGCAGTGAATGCAAGTGACAGATCGACCGATTCTTGCGATGAGTTCTCCATGTCAGCTTTGGCAGGGAACAGTTCGAGCGCACGGAAAAGGTGATCCTCAGAGCTTAGCAAGCCTGAGAAACAATTGCAGTGCAGTTACACGGTGTCCCTTGAACTGATTGCCAGCTCTACTCCCTACATAACTTAGTTGGCACCTGGTCGAACATCATGAAGGCAAACTTCAGCTTTTCCGTCTTCGCTGCCTTGGTGATAGGACAGACCAACCAAATGCAAGCCGCAAAACTCCCAGGATTGCTGGCCTGCGGATATCCGCATATCACTCCACCCCAACTAGTTGGCAACATGCGCACAGGGCGCCGTAGTGTCGCGTGCGAATTCTGCTTCTTCTTCCAGGGGAGGGGGAAGCAGCAGGGTGGAGGGGGACGGATAATAACGTCCTTTGGTGTTTCGTGCGAATCTTGCCTGGTGGAAGGAAGGAGGGCGGGAAGGACAGGGTTGAGTGTTGAACTGCCGCAGCATTATTCTACCGACGATGTCATGCTCGATTGGCTCCTGGACTGGCAGGGTTTGCTACCTTTGCTCTCCCAGGTGATGTCCTCCGCAGGACATTGCTCTCTCCCCCCCTCCCTAAGCACACCAAATAAACTTACAGAAAACCCATCAAACCCACAAATATGTAGAAGTGTATAACTATATTGACTATGATTGTTTAGGCGCTTGCGCAACACCCCACTTTTTCGTAGAAATCGTGCCAAAACCCGAGAAGTAAGCTGATTCCTACCCTTCACAACAACACGGCACCTCGCACAGCGCGCTCATTAGTTGCGAAGTGGTTCTACCATTGGACAGGCACATGCCGTCACTGCATGGAACAATAGCTTTAGTTGTTGGGCCCCTGCCGCAGTGTACCGCGACAGGACGACGATGAACTCCTTCAGCTCAATCATGCCACTGCCGTCCTCGGATAAGAGGCTTGTGCAGTCAATCTTATGAACTGTACACCGCCACCACCACCACCACCACCACCACCACGACCACCACCACCACAACCACAACCACTACCATCAACGGCATCATCATCATCTTCTTCTTCTTCACACCATCAACATCACCATCACCATCATCACCAACACCATCATCACCATCCATCAGCATCTTCTTCTTCACACGCAGCGAGAAAGATCCCTCGTCTAGCGAGCGCCAGCATTACACCACTTCTGGGCATAACGGCTGCTCGGTGGCAGCTAGGCTCGAGAGCCCTACGTGAGAGCATCCCACAAAAGCACCGTGGTGCCGTCGTCACTGTCAGCATCAGCATCATCATCACCATCACGAGCATCATCGCCATCATCCCGGTCATGTTAGGTTGTCGCGCCGATCTGAAGGAAATTCCTCCTCCGTTATTTTTGCCCGCGCTGACAAAGCCCCGAGCATGGCCTACTTCACCTCTCCGGCCTTTGTGGTTGTGGTGGTGGTGGTGGT